GGGTAGCCCAAAGTAGTCAGAAAGTACCTGAAAACTACCCAAGAAACTACCAAAAAAGTAGCCAAAAGTAGCCCAGAAAGAAAACCAGAAAACTACCCAAAAAGGGTAGCCAGAAAGTTTTCCCAAAAGAAACCTTAAAAGTTGTCAAAAAAGTAGCCAGAAAGGAAACCAGAAAGAACCCGGGACGTACCCCCAAAAATTTAAAGCCTGAAAGTACCAAAAAAATTCAGAAAGTACCCAGAAAGTAGTCCGAAATTAGTCAAAAAAGTAGCCCGGAAAAGCACCCAGAAAGGGGGGCCCGAAAGTAGTCAAAAGTTTCCAAAACCGGTAAGACAAAAAAGTAGGCAAAAAAGTACCAAAAAAGAAACCCCCAAAGTACCAGAAATATCTGTTTTCCGAAGATCTTTTGGACTTGAAAAATCCCCCCCTGTGTGGGGGGAAACTTTTGTCAAAAAAGGGGACCCCCAAAATTAAAAACTGAAATAATGGGGTTAAAATATTTCCACCAGAAAAAGCCAGAAAGTAGCCAGAAATTTACCCCAGAAAGTACCCCAAAAGGGTATCCCAAGTAAAAAAAAAAATTTTTATTTTAATTACGAACGTCATTTTCTAAACTGACTTAAAATGAAATTATACAAAAACAGAACTGCAGCAAAAACCCCTTAAAGTGAAACTAACTGCTTTTAATTTTACAAAAACTTGGTTTTGGGGGGAGTGGGGGTGGAGTGTGGAAGAGGTGGGGGAGTTGGTGGATTGTGGGGGAAGTGTAGGAGTGGGAATTGGAAAAAATTTGAAGGGGAAATTATATATCAAATGCCCAACCAAAAATCCCTTTTAAACGAAAAAAAAAGTTACTTGAAGTCAAATTTTTTAATTGTTTACAAAAAATTTTGTATCTTCCTTATTGGGTTATTTATGATGGGGAAAAAAAAACCCCCTTTACAAATCATTTTTTCAGGGGTTCATCAGTTCTCATGTGCTTAAAAATTTTAAATCTGTTTTCAAACCCCCCAACCCTTTTGATCCAGCTTCGTCATGTGAAATTGGGGAAACCTTTTTCTAAATTTGTCGTAAAAAACCTTCAACCTTAAAGCAGCTTCGCATGTCATGAGAAAACCCCCTTTATGATTGTCTTAAAAACCTTCAACTCTTGATGCAGCTTCGTAAATTGAAGGGAAAAACCTCTTCTAAATTGTTTTTAAAAACCCTTTCAACTCTTGATGCAGCTTCGTCAGTCATGAAAACCTTTTGGGTGATTTTTTAAAAACCTTAAATTTCTTAAATCCCTTTTTCGTCAGTGAATGAAAAACCCTTTCTTGTGATTGTCTTCAAACCTTCAACTCTTAAATGCAGTTTCCCTCATGTGGCCATGAAAACCCTTCGGGATTGTTTTAAAACCCTTCAACTCTTGATGCAGCTTCGTTTTTTTGCTTTGGAAACCTTTTCCCTAAATTGCGTCAAACCTTCAACCTTGATGCAGCTTCGTCATTTCCAGAAAACCCCCGAGATTGCTTAAAACCCTTTCCCAATCTTAAAGCAGCTTCGTCATGTCCCATAAAAAACCCCTTTTTCCCTGATTGTTTTCAAACCTTCCCCCTTAAATGCAGCCCCGTAAATTGCTAAAACCTCTTCTTTTGTCTTAAAACCCTTTCAACCCTTTGATCCAGCTTCGTAAAGTCTTAAAACCCTCTTTTTGTTTGTCTTAAAACCCTTTCCCCCCCTCTTGATCCGCTTCGCCCCATGTGCTTTGAAAAACCCTTCTGATTGTTTTAAAAAACCTTAAACTCTTGATGCGCTTCGTCATGTCATAAAGAAACCTCTTCTAAATTGTGGGTCAAACCTTCAACTTTTTATGCTGCTTCGTCATGTGCATGAAAACCTCTTCTGATTGCCCGTAAAAACCTTAAACTCTTGATGCGGGCTTCGCCCCAGGGCATGAAAAACCTCTTCTGATTGTCTTCAAACCTTCAACCTTGATGCAGCTTCGCATGTGCTTGAAAACCTCTTCTGATTGCGCCCAAACCCCCTTTAAAAAAACCCCCTTTTAAAAAAGGGCGGGCTTCGTCATGTCCATGAAAACCTCTTCTGATTTGTTTTTCCCCAAAACCTTCAACCCTTGATGCGGGAAGCTTCGTATTGCATAAAGAAACATCTTCTGATTGTCTTCAAACCTTCAACTCTTGAGTATTTTATTTTGGAAAAAATTTAAAATTGTTTTGAAGTAAAGAAAATAAAAATATTCTGGAAAATTTAACAAGAATTTTCTTCCCCGAAAAAACTTCAGTCTTTTTAAACGACGATGGATCATATAAAACAACTTAAAAATTTGTTCTGGAAATAAAAAAAAAGGTTCTTCCTTTTAACAACTTCACCCTTTATTAACGACGTTTAATTTTTTAAAAAAATTTAAACATTTGTCTAAAAAATTTTAAAAAAAAGGTTCCCCCTTCTAAAACAACTTCATCTTTTATTAACGACTAAAGGTTTCCAATAAACAACTTAACATTTTTTCCCGGGAAAAAAACCAAAAGTTTTTCCCTCTGAAAAACATCATCATTATTAACATTTAATGGATAATATAAACAACTTAAACCATTTTTTCGGAAAATAAAAAGGAATGTTTTTCCCTTTTAACAATTTTAAATCTTTATTAACGACTTGGGGTCTTTAAAAACAATTTAAACCCTTTGTAAATTTCCCCATTTTTAACTAAGACAGTTAAAAATTTACAAATTTTAGATCCGGAAAAATAAGAAGAAAAAGTTTTTTCAGGATAAACTGCAGACCGGGACAAAAAGAAAAAAGAATTTTCTTTTTTCAGGATAAATTTGGTTTCTAGACCTGGACAATAAAAAAGAAAAATGTCTTTTTTCCGGAAAAACTTTTTAGATCCCTAAAATAAGAAAAAAGGCCTTTTTCCCGGAAAACTGGTCAGTTTCCGGGAAACAAAAGAAGAGAAGGGCCTTTGTTCGGGATAAACGGTCTAGATCCTGGACAATAAGAAGAGAATGTCTTGTTCAGGATAAACTGGTCTAGATCCTGGACAATAAGAAGAGAATGTTTGTTCAGGATAAACTGGTCTAGATCCTGGACAATAGAAAGAATGTTTGTTCAGGATAAACTGGTCAGATCCTGGACAATAAGAAGAAATGTCTTGTTCAGGATAAACTGGTCTAGATCCTGGACAATAAGAAGAGAATGTCTTGTTCAGGATAAACTGGTCTAGATCCTGGACAATAAGAAGAATGTCTTGTTCAGGATAAACTGGTCTAGATCCTGGACAATAAGAAGAGAAATGTCTTGTTCAGGATAAACTGGTCTAGATCCTGGACAATAAGAAGAGAATGTCTTGTTCAGGATAAACTGGTCTAGATCCTGGACAATAAGAAGAGAATGTCTTGTTCAGGATAAACTGGTCTAGATCCTGGACAATAAGAAGAGAATGTCTTGTTCAGGATAAACTGGTCTAGATCCTGGACAATAAGAAGAGAAATGTCTTGTTCAGGATAAACTGGTTCTAGATCCTGGACAATAAGAAGAGAATGTCTTGTTCAGGATAAACTGGTCTAGATCCTGGACAATAAGAAGACAATGTCTTGTTCAGGATAAACTGGTCTAACTTTACTATATTAGTTGTTCAATTATCCCTTGACAGTGTATACTCTCTTTGTTGATTTTATTAAAGAGAAAGTGTAAAGAATACTGACTTTCATTAAATAATTTGTGAACATATTATTTTATGATGACATTAGTTACTTAGAAGAAGCTATGTTTTGTTACATGACAGTGTAGATGACAGTATCAAACTCTACACTGCCTCAACTGACCTAGAATGGTGACTCATACCTCCTACCTGAATGTTACTTGCCAGTGTAGGTGCCAGTATCAAATACAACACTGTCTCAACTGACCTTGTATGGTGACTCATACCTCATACCTGGATGTTACTTGACAGTGTAGGTTACAGTATCAAACACTACACTGTCTCAACTGACCTTGTGTGGTGACTCATACCTCATACCTGGATGTTACTTGACAGTGTAGGTTACAGTATCAAACACTACACTGCCTCAGCTGTCCTTGTATGGTGACTCATACCTCATACCTGAATGTTACTTGCCAGTGTAGGTGACAGTATCAAACACTACACTGTCTCAACTGACCTTGTATGATGACTCATACCTCATACCTGGATGTTACTTGACAGTGTAGGTGACAGTATCAAACACTACACTGCCTCAGCTGTCCTTGTATGGTGACTCATATCTGGATGTTACTTGACAGTGTAGGTTACAGTATCAAACACTACACTGCCTCAGCTGTCCTTGTATGGTGACTCATACCTCATACCTGGATGTTACTTGACAGTGTGGGTGACAGTATCAAACACTACACTGCCTCAGCTGTCCTTGTATGGTGACTCATATCTGGATGTTACTTGACAGTGTAGGTGACAGTATGAAACACAACACTGTCTTAGCTGACCTTCTATGGTGATTTATACCTCATACCTGGACGTTACTTACAGTGTAGGTGACGGTATCAAACACTACACTGCCTCAGCTGCCCTTGTATGGTGTCTCATACCTCATACCTGAATGTTATTTGGCAGTGTAGGTGACAGTATCAAACACTACACTGCCTAAGCTGACCTTGTATGGTGACTCATATTTCATACCTGGAAATTTCTTGACAGCATAGGTGACAGTATCAAACACTACACTGCCTAAGCTGACCTTGTATGATGACTCATATTTCATACCTGGAAATTTCTTGACAGCATAGGTGACAGTATCAAACACTACACTGCCTCAGCTGATCTTGTGTTGTGACTCATACCTCATATGTGGATGTTACTTGAGAGTGTAGGTGACAGTATCAAACACTACACTGTCTCAGCTGACCTTGTATAGTGACTCATACCTCATACCTGGATGCACAGTGTCAATGTCTTAATAATAGACATATTCCGAGTGTATTTATAATAAAAAAATTGTCAGTTTTTCAGGAGGTGTGAGTGTGTTGTGTGAGATGCAAGAAGAACACATGTGGACGGTGTTCCTCGTCCGCCGGCGCCAGACTCCACAAGTGAACTTCAGAAGGACCTGGCAAGACTACAAGACTGGCTTCGGTGACCCAAGTGGAGAATATTGGTTGGGTAAGTCCTGTTATCTTGTAGTTCACTCTGATGTGTTGTAGCTCATGAAACTCCATGTTGTAGTTCATGTAACACCAAGTGTTGTGTTGTAGTTCAAATATCTCAGAATTGAAATTCATGCTGTTCTCAATGTTGTGTTGCAGTTCACGCAACTCTGTGTTTATGTTCATGCAGCTTCCTGTGTTGTATTTTAGTAGGTATTGTTCTGTGTTGCAAGGTAGTTCACGGAGTTTTCTATGTCGTGGTGTAACACTTTGTGTTGTATTGTAGTTCATGTAGCTCTCTATGTCGAGTTGTAGTTCAGATAGATCTCTGTGTTGTAGTGTAGTTCAAGTACCTCTATGTTTTGTGTTGTAATTTGTGTAATTCATGTAGTTCTGTGTTGTGTTGTAGTTCATTTACCACTGTGAGTTGTGTTGTAGCTCATTTACCACTGTGAGTTGTGTTGTAGCTCATTTACCACTGTGAGTTGTGTTGTAGTTCATTTATCACTGTGAGTTGTGTGGTAGTTCATTTACCACTGAGTTGTGTTGTAGTACATTTATCACTGTGAGTTATGTTGTAGTTCTGTGTTGTGTTGTAGTTCATTTACCACTGTGAGTTGTGTTGTAGTTAATTTATCACTGTGAGTTATGTTGTAGTTCTGTGTTGTGTTGTAGTTCATTTACCACTGTGAGTTGAGTTGTAGTTCATTTACCATTGTGAGTTGTGTTGTAGTTACATTTACACGGAGTTATGTTGTAGTTCTGTTGTGTTGTAGTTCTTTACCACTGTGAGTTGTGTTGTAGTTCATTTACCACTGTGAGTTGAGTTGTAGTTCATTTACCATTGTGAGTTGTGTTGTAGTTAATTTATCACTGTGAGTTATGTTGTAGTTCTGCGTTGTGTTGTAGTTCATTTACCACTGTGAGTTGTGTTGTAGTTCATTTACCACTGTGAGTTGTGTTGTAGTTCATTTACCACTGTGAGTTGTGTTGTAGTTCATTTATCACTCTGAGTTATGTTGTAGTTCTGTGTTGTGTTGTAGTACATTTACCACTGTGAGTTGTGTTGTAGTTCATTTACCACTGTGAGATGTGTTGTAGTTCATGCAGCCTGGCCTCAGATCTCGCCGCGGGGGCGTTGACCCCCGAAACTCTCACTAGGTACACTCCAGGTAGTATTATGTTGTGTTCACGTAGATGTCTCTTGTTGTAGTTCCTGTAGCTCTTTGTGTTGTGTTGTAGTTCCTGTAGCTCTTTGTGTTGTGTTGTAGTTCCTGTAGCTCTCTGTGTTGTTTTTGTAGTTCATTTAGCTCTCTGTGTTGTTTGTAGTTCATGTAGCTCTTGTGTTTGTGTTGTAGTTCCTGTAGCTCTCTGTTTTGTGTTGTAGTTCCTGTAGCCTCTTGTGTTGTGTTGTAGTTCCTGTAGCTCTTTGTGTTGTGTTGTAGTTCCTGTAGCTCTCTGTGTTGTGTTGTAGTTCATGTAGCTCTCTGTGTTGTGTTGTAGTTCCTGTAGCTCTCTGTGTTGTGTTGTAGTTCCTGTAGCTCTCTGTGTTGTGTTGTAGTTCATGTAGCTCTCTGTGTTGTTTGTAGTTCCTGTAGCTCTTTGTGTTGTGTTGTAGTTCATGTAGCTCCTGTGTTGTGTTGTAGTTCAGTAGCTCTCTGTGTTGTGTTGTAGTTCATGTAGCTCTCTGTCTTGTGTTGTAGTTCATGTAGCTCTCTGTGTTGTGTTGTAGTTCATGTAGCTCTTTGTGTTGTGTTGTAGTTCATGTAGCTCTCTGTGTTGTGTTGTAGTTCATGTAGCTCTCTGTCTTGTGTTGTAGTTCATGTAGCTCTCTGTGTTGTGTTGTAGTTCATGTAGCTCTCTGTCTTGTGTTGTAGTTCATGTAGCTCTCTGTCTTGTGTTGTAGTTCATTTAACTTTCTGTGTTGTGTTGTAGTTCATGTAGCTCTCTGTCTTGTGTTGTAGTTCATGTAGCTCTGTTGTATTCCAGCTCATGCAGCTTTTGGTGTTGTGTTGCAGTTCATTTAACTCTCTGTATTGTTTCTTTGTTCATGTAGCTCTCTGTGTTGTGTTGTAGCTCATATAGCTCTGTTGTACTGCAGTTCATGCAGCTCTCTGTGTAGTCTTGTAGATCATGTAGCTCTGTTGTATTGCAGCTCATGCAGCTCTTTGTGTTTTGTTGCAGTTCATTTAACTCTCTGTGTTGTGTCTTAGTATAGCTCTCAGTGTTGGGTTGTAGTTCACGTAGCTCTCTGTGTTGTGTCTTAGTTCATGAAACTCTCTGTGCTGTGTTGTGTTGTAGTTCTTGTAGCTCTGTTGTACTGTAGTTCATGCAGCTGTTAGTGTTGTGTTGTAGATCACGTAGCTCTGTTGTATTGCAGCTCATGCAGCTCTCGGTGTTGTGTTGTAGTTCATTTAACTCTCTGTGTTGTGTCTTAGTTCATGTAGCTCTCTGTGTTTTGTTTTAGTTCAAGTAGCTCTCTGTGTTGTGTTGTAGTTCATGTAGCTCTCTGTGTTGTGTTGTAGTTCATGTAGCTCTCTGTGTTGTGTTGTAGTTCATTTAACTCTCTGTGTTTGTCTTAGTTCATGTAGCTCTCTGTGTTTTGTTTGTAGTTCATGTAGCTCTCTGTGTTTTGTTTTAGTTCAAGTAGCTCTCTGTGTTGTGTCTTAGTTCATGTAGCTCTCTGTGTTTGTTTGTAGTTCATGTAGCTCTCGGTGTTGTGTTGTAGTTCATTTAACTCTCTGTGTTGTGTCTTAGTTCATGTAGCTCTCTGTGTTTTGTTGTAGTTCATGTAGCTCTCTGTGTTTTGTTTTAGTTCAAGTAGCTCTCTGTGTTGTGTCTTAGTTCATGTAGCTCTCTGTGTTGTGTTGTAGTTCATGTAGCTCTCGGTGTTGTGTTGTAGTTCATTTAACTCTCTGTGTTGTGTCTTAGTTCATGTAGCTCTCTGTGTTTTGTTTTAGTTCAAGTAGATCTCTGAGTTGTGTTGTAGTTCATATAGCTCTCTGTGTTGTGTTGTAGTTCATGCAGCTCTCTGTGTTGTGTCTTAGTTCATGTAGCTCTCTGTGTTGTGTTGTAGTTCATGTAGCTCTCTGTGTTGTGTTGTAGTTCATGTAGCTCTCTGTGTTGTGTTGTAGTTCATGTAGCTCTCTGTGTTGTGTTGTAGTTCATGTAGCTCTCTGTGTTGTGTTGTAGTTCATGTAGCTCTCTGTGTTGTGTTGTAGTTCATGCAGCTCTCTGTGTTGTGTCTTAGTTTATGTAGCTCACTGTGTTGCGTTGTTGTTAATGTAGCTCTTTGTGTTGTGTTGTAGGTCATTTAGCTCTGTTGTATTGCAGTTCATACAGCTCTCTGTGTTCTGTTGAAGTTCCTGTAACTGTTTTATTGCAGCTGATGCAGATCTCTCTGTTGTGTTGCAGTTCTTTTAAATTTTTTAAAAAATTATTTTTTTTTTTAAAAGGGGGGGGGGGGTTTTTAAAAATTTTTTTTAAAAAAGGGGGTTTTTTTTTTTAAAAATTTTTTTTTCCCCCTTTTTTAAAAATTTTTATTTTTAAAAAAATTTTTGGGGAAAAAAAAAGGGGAAATTTTTTTTTTTTAAACCCTTTTTGAAAAAAAAAAAGGGGAAATTTTCCCCCTTTTTTAAAAATTTTTTTTGGGGGGTTAAGGTTTTAAAAAAATTTTTTTTTTAAAAATTTTAAAAAAATTTTTTTTAAAAAAAAAAAAAAAAAATTTTTCCAAAGGTTTTTTTAAAAAATTTAAAAACCCCTTTTTTTTTTTTTTTTTTTTTTAAAACCCCTTTTTTTGAAAAAAATTCTTTTTTTTAAACCCCAAAATTTTTTTTTAAAAAAGGAAATTTTGGGGGGGGTTTTTTTAAAAACCCCCCCCTTTTTTTTTAAAAAATTTTTTAAATTTGAAAAAATTTTTGTTTTTTGGGGAAAAAAAAATTTTTTTTTTAAAAATTTTTTTTTGGGTTTTTTAAAACCTTTTTTTTTTGGGTTTTTTTTTTTTTTTTTTTTTTTCCCCCTTTTTTTTTTTGGTTTTGGTAAAAAAAAAATTTTTTTTTTTTTTTTGGGGGTTTTTTTTTAAATTTTTTTTTTTTTTTTTTTTTTGGGTTTTTTTGGGTTTTTTTTTTTTTTTTTTTTTTTTAAAGAAACCTTTGTTTTGTGTTGTATTTTTAAAAATTCCTGTTTTTTTGTTTTAATTTCCCCTTGTTTATGTTTGTTGTTTTAAGTAATTAACCTTGTTTTTGTGTTTAAGTAACTCATGTGTTTTTGTTGTTTGTATTTAAAGAAACCTCTGTGTTTTTGTAGTGTTTATTTTCTGTTTTTGGAGTTATGTTTTTTAGTTTTAAGAAATCTTGTTTATTTTGGGGGGTTGTGTTTAAGAATTCATTTTATTTTGGTGTGTGTTTAGAAGAAATCTCTGTTTTGTTTGTTGTAGTTTAAAGAAACTTTTGTTTTGTTGTGTTGTATTTTCGAAACTTTGTGTTTTTTTGTTTTTTGTATTTTCAGAAAACCTTCTGTGTTTGTTTTGTAGTTCATTTTAACTTTGGGGTTTTTGGGTTTTTGAAGTTTAAGAAATTTGGTGTTTTTGTTTTTTTAAGAAACTTTGTGTTTGTTTTTTTTGTTTGTTTAAGTAATTCCTCTGTGTTTTTTGTGTTGTATTAAAGAAACTTTGTGTGTTGTGTTGTAGTTCAAGAAACTTTTTTTGTTGTGTTTTTAAGTTAAAGAACCCCCTGTTTTGTTTTTTTTGTAGTTAAGTAACCTTTTTTTTGTTGTGTTTTTGTTCAGTCTTTGTTTTTGTTTTTTTGTAGTTAAAGTACCCTTGTGTTATTTTTATTTGAAAGTTAAAGGTATTTTGTGTTATGTTGTGTTGTAGTTCTTTGAAACTTTGGTTATGTTGTTTTTAAAAGAAACTTTGTTTTTGTTGTGTTGTATTCGAAACTTCTGTTTTATTTGTGTTGAAGTTAAAGAAACCCCTTGGGGTTTGTTGTGTTGTAGCCAAGTTTTCTTCATGTAGGG